CAGCCCTGTCCCATAGATGTTTCTGCAGTGGTAGAAATGTCCTACATCTGTGTGGTCCGGTATGGTAGCCACGAACACATGTGGCTACTGAGCATGTGAAATGTGGCTAGTGAGACTAAATAACTTAATTTAATTTTTTTTTTAATTTTCTTTTAATTAATTTAAAGTTTAAGTAGTCACACATGGCTAGTGGCCACCATACGGGACAGCACAGTTCTAGATGTTTGCTGCCCTTATGTATGGATGGACATTCTGACTTTTTAAGCCACTGCAAGTGACTTAAAGAGGCTTTGTTTTTTATTTCAACCTCCAAAGTTAGTGTTGGATCATCATGAACAAAACAATTAAGATGCTTATGTTGGGTAATCACCTCCACACTTAAGGCTACCATGCCTTCCGGAAGGTTCAGGTGACCTCACCGGTCAACATCCCACTGAGCCAGGCCTGGGGACAAACCAGCTATTGCTGGTATCAGGTTTACTGCCTCCTTCCAATGTAATGTTGGGTCCTTGTGACCTGGAATCTAAATATTTGCCCATTGCTGATGGTAGAGGCCAATAATCCTGTTCCTAATTAGCAGAGTGAACGGTACTGTGAGTTAAGAGTTGGTCTCTTAACTGGTTGGTCTCCACCTTCTTTGCCCATGAAGAAGCAAATGCCATGACAACATGTTCTAAGTTCTTGAGGTTTGTATATTTGGAACAGCGTCCCTTCCAGCAAGGGTGAAAGATGAGAAAAGCTCATGACGCCCCTCTTCATGGAAGGTTGCCATACCTCCATATCCACCCACAAGTCCTGGGCTAATCATTTTCATCATTTTCTTTGGGAAAAATCAGAGCTCCTGTTTCTTCTCTGTGAAGGCTTGGGAAAGCAAAATACCCTGTCAATTATAGCAGGCTCCTCTAGGCCAGCGGCTGTCCCAGGGATGCTGTTGCCTGCTCATATCGAGAGACTGCTTTGCTTTTTCATCTACTAATCATCCAATTCCTAGTTGATTAGGTGGTATTTACTTATTCTACTCTTTTATTTATTCTACTCTGATTAAACAGCTAACAAGGTTGTATATAACTTTGAAAAGGGTCTAAACCTAAGTTGCCTCTTAAAATTACATTAGCATTTAGAAATGTGGCCTGGGATTGGGCTGAGGCAAAGGAAGGTATTCTGGAAGCCCCAGAACCTGCTCGGCCACTGGTACCTATTAGAGCACCGTTTATAAAAATAGATACCAAGGCAGCTTATAATGTAACCTAATGTTAGTACAAACGTTAAGAGTCTCACATGTTCTTGCATTGATCCCACAAGATAAGCATTAATAATAAGTATCTCCTTGATGGGAAATTGAAGTGCTGAGAAGTGGTTTGTCTGAATTCACACTGTAATAAGGGAGAAAGATGGCCCTTGATGATAAATGTTCTTTCTGCTATGCCACACCACTAACTTAAATGTATTTAGGAGGTACTGCTTTAAAGAACACGAGCTTGATGGTTATTGCTTTATCTTGGATTTAGATGTAATACAACCTCTGCTTGAGGTGCTGTGAAAGCCACTGGTGGTGGTGAGGTCATTGTGCACAATAGAGTGGCCACTGCATTTACTGTGCATTTGGGGATCTGCCCTCCTCTAGGCAGTTGTCTGGAAATGATAGCTTGATACTGGACCCATTACTTGATGGTAAATGTCTCACTAATTCCAGGTTCATCAGAATTGTGATCATCTGAGACAGGGTCAAGAGAGGAACAAGTGGCAGAAATTGCAATGTGAGCATCAAAATTTGGTGGTGGCACATTCATGTTGTGACTGTGGTAGAAGACTTCCCGTGGAGTAAGCCATCCGCTCCTGTACTACCCACCAGTCAGAATGAACTCTCCTTTACAAATCAGAGGCAACACGTTCCTTGGAGTTTTCAGCCATAGGAGTCTCTAGAAGGGAATTAATTACTTAGGGGAAGGTTTACCTGTGGAGGGCTTTGGCTTTTTTTTAGATTTACACCTACTCATTGAACTGTATCTTTCTCCTGCTCTTTTCTTACTGATCCATGAATGATCTTTTGCAAGGGTAGTGCCTGATGTCATATCCAACACACTGAGCTCTGGAAATTGGGACTGATCTGGCCTGGATTCTCCTTTGGGAGGTGGCAGCATTCTTATAGCTTCCTCTAGGAGAAAGTCCTGGCTCCAGGACCTCCCTGGCACTGAGGATCCTATGAAAAGAGGATTGATAAATTCTGTATTTCCTCAGGATTCAAAATATAGCAGGGCAGGCCCAGACTATGAATGTTTAAGACCAACCAGATTTTCAAAGAAATTTGGGTGGGGATCCAAGCCTGGGAGGAGAACACTCCAAACCAACCCATGATCCTGGGGGCTGAAGAGTTCTGGATCTAGTTTATCTCATAAAGATCTCTGGCTTCATTTGTACCCAGCAAAAGTTGAAGGGCTGAGACTGTGTGTGGGGGGGGGGGGTGGGAGGGGTTGGGGATCAGCATTATAAGCACACAAGTCAGATGGCTGATGAGTGATGCATTTGGTAACATTTTTGTTCCCTTGCCCTTCCCGTGCTCTTGTATCCAGAGACGAATCCTCCGGTACACCCCAAGGAATATCTGTGATACAGACAGCAAAACAGAGGTGAATTTCACTGTGGAAAATTCTGATTTTTGTCACTCGTCTTGATAGAGAAGATGTGACCTTGAAGGCACTTGTATAACCAAGGCCCAGACCCTTGGGATAGCATTACCCAGGAAAAATTTGAGATTATGTAAGTGGTGTTGTTTTGGGTTCTCTGGCAGACTGAGGTACGGTGACAGAGTGCAAACATGAAAAATCCTGTTCTTATACTTTAGAAATTGCCAGTTTTATGCCTCCGACCACATATTTTTGTCCTTATTTCATCATCACTTTTATCTATGCAACCGTATCCTTTTTTAGATGTGGTCCAAGTGTTTTGCAATGATGATTTAAAGAATGAATAATTTTTATAGCATAAAGAACACTACAGAAATCTGTCAACAGCCTGTCCCCCCAAACAAAGTTTGTGGAGAGGAGCATGAAATTTCAAGTCTTAGAATATCCCAAATGTGTAAGGACTGCTGTGCAAAATGGCCATGGCTAGGCACGTGAGTCTTTGTGTGAAAACAGAAGAACCCAGCTGCCCATTTATTTACCAGTCTAGAGAGATTGCTGCATGCTACTGTTTGACGTACGTAATATTTTTTTTTTTTTTAGCTGTCCTTGGGTTTTGTTCCTATGTGCAAAAAAAAGTGAGAATTTATCTTCATGCTAAAATGTGTTGATTTTCGGATTAATCTCACTCCCTAAGTTTAATCAGCAGCAGGCATTGTATTTTGTCTTTGACCAGCAGGAAACAATCCAGGCGATGTGTTCTTTTCGATGGTGCCAGTTTTGTAAGATAGTCTTTTCTCTTCAGACTTGAGGTGGAATATTTTATCCTGTGATTTTATGTTCCTTAATAGGGAGTATAGATCTCACCCAGGGATACATCCGCATCCATAAACATCAATCATTGATGTTTTTAAGGTATCCTTTGAACATTAAATAACCATGGTGTGAACATCCCAGATTAAAGGAGAAATCCCAATGAGAACTTGATGGATATCAAGTATCCAGGATCTATCTTAGGGATCCATGCTGCTGACAGAAAGAGTCCATCCTCTAGAGTATATTGCAGGCATAAAATATTAAATAAGAATTCATAAAAGGCATATTACTCATCTTAAATCAATTCACCATGCTAACAAACGGTGTTGAATGCAGCTTGTGGTACTTAGTGCTTACATAGGATAAGTAAAATTCTTACTCAGATAAGATCTTAAACATGAAATATGATCATAGAGTTCAGTGGTTTGGAGCACCCTCCCTCAGTTAGACTGCCTGGAAAGGAACCCCGAGTCTACCACGCACTGGCTGTGAAGTCTTGGATCAAATTTCTTATCTTTTCTAAGGCTCAGTTTCTCATTTGTAAAATGAGGTAAATACATAGAGATTTATGAGAATTAAATAAGCTAGTATGGATAAAACACTTATTAGCACAGTGCTGGAACATTGTAAGCACTCAGATTATGTTACCTACAACTATTATCATATCACTATCATGTTGATCTTATTATTTTTATTATTATCCAGACAGAAATATTTGAACAATTTCTAGTTACTAGAGGATGTAGTTATTACATTTTACTTTATTTTTTAATGATTTTATTTTTTTTAAATTTTATTTATTTGAGAGAGAGTGACAGATAACAACAGGGATACTGAGAAAGAGCACGAGTAGGGAGGGGAGGGAAAAGCAGGCTCCATGCAGGGAGCCCGATGTGGGACTCGATCCCGGGTCTACAGGATCACACCCTGGGCTGAAGGCAGTGCTAAACCACTGAGCCACCCGGGCTGCCCCACATATATATCTTTATATCTGTATCTTTTTTTTTTAAGATTTTATTTATTCATGAGAGACACAGAGAGAGAGGCAGAGACACAGGCAGAGGGAGAAGCAGGCTCCATACGGGGAACCCAATGTGGGGCTCCTTCCTGGGACTCCAGGATGATGCCCTGGGCCAAAGGCAGGCGCTAAACCGCTGAGCCACTCAGGGGTTCCCTTTGTATCTGTATCTATCTTATGGTTATATGGACAGATCAGATAGGTATAGATGCAGGTGTATAGAGAGATTATGCTGTGCTTTAGAAGGCCCGGTGTCTCAACTGTTGAAATCAGAGAGCTGTAGCATTTTTAATTTAGATGGTGCCTTGGAGACAATCTCCATTAGGCCCATGAGGAAAGAAGATTCCTGGGCCCAACTGGGTGAAAGGGGACAGTCACACAGCAGAGGAGCGACTCAGACAGTAGTCAGGATGGGAGCTCTTGCCCCTGCATCTCCCTGCCCTGACCTTTAGGATTCTCCAACACCTTTTTGAGTTGGCTTTTTCACAATTCAACCACACATACGCCAGCAGCAGCAGCAGGATATCTCCCAGAGTTCTAAGTACCTGTTTGGAAGATGACCCACTTGAAAACCGGGGTCTCTCCAAATTTGTCTCTTGTCCCCAAAATTGATCTCGTTTCTTCTCATTTGGGTCTTTTCTGTATTCTTGTCGTCTCAGACAAGCCTGCAAAATAAAAACAAATGTTTCTTTGGCTTAGGTCTACAGTAACTTTAGTCTTTGATAATTTTTGCTTAATTCCTATCATGAGGAACATGAAATGCATAAGGTCCATCTCCAAGGGCTCACTGACACCTTTACTAAGTGTGAAGACGCCCAGCCTGGCATCATTCTCTCTTCCCTATGCCCAAAATGCTAGGTCAAAAATAGTAGTCAGTGCTTTAATAAATTAAAATAACAAACCAAGAGGTGTTTTGACAAGTATTTCCCCAACAATTGCCTTCTTGGGACAGGAAGTACCTGACGATACAGGATATTAACTTCCTCTTCTGTATTAATGCACTTCAGAGCTCCCCTCATCCTACTGCCGCTCTACACGGGCTTCTTGGATCACACCTGGTTACAGGGTAAGACATTTCCTCCATGCACACAAGAGCTTTAGCATGTGCGCTTCCTTCCACTTGGAATGCCTTTCATGGGATGTTCACAGGATGGCAAATCCTGCAAATCAACTCAGATCCAGCTCACGTGGAGTCTTTCCTTGCCTAGCTCCTCTTCCCCAGGCCAAATTAATTGCTCCTTTATACATACACAGCTTGAATTATGCAAAAAAAATTTTTTACTGTTATATTTAGTTGTTTTGAGCCTGTGTCTCCTGCTGATCAGTGAGAACCCTCAGGGTAAGGACCACCTCTTATCTTTTGAATCCCCCAGCATCTAGCATTTAATGCTAGCTGAATTGCATTATTGTTTCAGAGGGAAATATCAGTCCCCAAATGCAAAATAAAAAAATTAAAATAACTGACAAAAAAAATTTCCATTTTTAAAAAAAACAAAATTAAGAGAAAATCTATCACCAATATTTTTCTCTTCCAGAATCAGGACCAAAAAAAAAACCACCCCAAGGACATCATGTGCTATTGGTGTCAACTGGTATTTTAAATAGTTTAAAATAGTAAAACTTCTTGGAGAATTTCTATAGATTCAGTGCCCGAATTCACCTTTGTGCTGCTAGAGCCAAATTATTCGCTGTCATGATAAAGAAACGCAGTGTAAAGACCAACAATACTGTTTCTAAACAGGGCCTGACATCTCCCCTTCCTGGCTGGGTTGAGAAAGGAAAGATTCCTTCCGCATTTTCCCCCTTTGTTAGAAGATGCATCTCCTTCCTTGATGTGGAAGGACTTGCCAGAATTTCACGCCTCTGGGAAAACCTAATATTATGCTACATGGTTAAAAATAGAAATGACCTGATATTAACAAAACATTAACCACTTGGAATTGGGAACAGCGGTTTGGTTACACTGTGCTTCACAAGTGAATTGCTGGTGAGGCACTGGCCTCAGGGCTCATGCTTTGTGGCCAGGTGGTACCTGCGGCAAGTGGAATCTTGGAGAAAAAAGTGTACCATTCCACTCCGCCTGCTTTGGAAAGGGAGAGCACTCCAAAATGGTTGCCCCCCTCCCTTATTTTCCTGTCTCACTGTTAATCTTATTTTCTTTTTAAAAAGATTTTATTTACTTATTTGACAGAGAGCGCACACAAGCAAGGGGAGCTGCAGAGGGAGAGGGAGAAGCAGGCTCCCAGGTAAACTGGGATCCTGATGTGGGGCTTGATCCCAGGATTCCAGGATCAATGACCTGGGCAAGGGTAGACGCTTAATGACTGAGTCACCCAGGCACCCCCTGTTAATCTTATTTTCAAAAACTATGCTAATATAGATAGCAAGCCATTTTAATAAATCCTGGGCAGTGGCTTTTTTTTTTTTCAAATTAATTAATTTAGAGAGTGTGGTAAGGGGTAGAGGGAGAGAATCCCAAGCTGACTCCTCATTGAGCACGGAGCAAACAGGGGGCTCGATTCCAAGACACTGAGATCATGACCTGAGCTGAAATCAAGAGTTGGACACTCAACCGACTGAGCTACCCAGGTGCCCCGGCAGTGTTTGTTTTAATAAATAATTTGAGCAAGAAACCCCCCCAAAATACTGGACAGTAACTGTGATAAGTAAGTTAAACAAACACGGAGTAATAAACCAAGGTAAACCGAAGAGAGTTAGCAGAGAGTTGAATGACATTCAAGTAAAGATGGGCCTCTTCTTTTCCAATGACTTCAGATCAGAGCCCGTTTGGGAGGAGCTCTGGCTCGGAGTGCTGCTTCCTGAAGCGGCAGATGTCTGTGTTATCCTAACCGACTGGGATTAAAGGCAAAGAAGCAAATGCTGATAGGCTAAAAGTGGAGGACAGTGTTAGCAAATGCACGCAAGACCAAGGCAGATTTTGTGGGATGAACAGAATTCTTGTGGGTTGAGTGTTTTTTGAAAATTCTCTCCAAGAATGCATGCAACTTAAATATTTCTTTACCAAAAGGGGAGGAGGAGTAGAATGGTTTGCAATGTCGAAAAAAATTTTTCTCCTCTGGTTCCTTATGCCTCTTCTCATAGAGGAGCCGGAGAACAAACGAGTGTCAGGGTAGGTAATTTTTATCTTAATACAGCCAAACAACCTCTCTGTGTAAATCAAACATTAGTCCTCTTGAAGTTATAGCTTTGCCGAGTTGAAGGAACACAGGGACAGAAGCAAGTCCAGACTTCCAGTCCCAGAAATAGCAAGAACCTAACCGTAAGTAACTGCCCTAGGGGCTAGTTTTCTGGTGGTTTGTAAACGTGAATGATTTTTTTTTTTCCATTTTTGATGCTGGTGTCGGTTCTACTTTGGGGGTCCTGGAGTGACAGAGCAGAGTGTGAAATCCATAGGGTGAGGAGGAGGAACTGATTTGTAACTCATGATTTCCCAGGGCTCCCCTTCCTCTGGAACTTTAAAAATATTCCCCTTTCAGTTCCACACGTCTGGAGCTAAATTGCTATAAATAAGTTTCTCTTCATGTGAGAGAACTGGCTGAGGACAGTCTTAAAATCGAAGGCTTCAGGTAACTCCTTATTTCCTCCTTGAGCTGGGTGGGGGTGGGCTTTCTCCTTCACTCCTCCTCTGCCACCAGCCCCTAGGGCCCCCGCCCCAGCCCAACCCTCTGGATGGCCCAGTTAGGCTGCCTCCCCAGAGCACAAGCTACTGGAGTGGGGGCAGAACACAGAATGTGCATATATGCCTGTGGGGGATAACGTGGGTCTTGTGACTCACTGTAACTCAGTACGGGTAAACATGACAAACCCCAGCTCTGCCACTTTCTCGCAACGTGACCTTGGGCAGGCAGGCTAACTAACTCCATTGGTTCTTGCTTCCCTCATCTCTAAGAGGGAGATGCCCTGTGCCACCAGCCAGCCAGAGTCTGGAGGCCCTGTTGGCAGGACGCTCAGCAGGGTGACCGGCTCCTGGCCAGGTTCAGGGAAAGGCACTCATCACCACCGTCATCAGCGTCATCACCATCATTATCATTATTAGGCTTTAATTGTTGTTTCTGATCCCATTGCTTGGTCTACGTCTCTTTCTAAAGCCAGCCTTTGCCAAATCATGTGACTCTGATCAGGGAAGAAGAAAGACTCTTTCTGTCCAGGCCTGAGGTTTCATCCCTGGTTTTTGTGCCCTGGAGGCAGAGGTTTGTTTCCTAGGCCTGCAGTTTCCCTCCACCCCACCAGACAACTGAGGAGATCCTGCTCAGGGTCAGTTGGGGTGCCTCGAAAACTACCACTTTTTCTTCAGTGTTACAGCTTTCTGAGGGGGGGGAGGTAGCGGGGGTGGGGGGAAGCGGAGGGGGATGATTGTGGGAGGGGGGGCTCAATTTCTTCTGTGTATTCAACTACCAGTCCCGCCTTCTTGTCCTCCTCCAGCCTCCTGGTGCCTTAGGAAGCCAAGGGCCACAGGAATGCTTTCCAGCCTTACAGTCCCATGGCCATGACCATCTCTACCTCTCCAGTGCGGTGGCCTCTGCTGAGGTTATTGTTGCTCCAAGTCCCCAAGCATCGAGAGAAGTGTGAGTTGCCACTGCTTCGGTTGGTACTTTGCTGCTGTTCTTAAATTCAAACGTGCATAACCCCGAGTCTGGGGATTGGATGATCATTGGTGGCATTCTTCAAGTTCATAAGTTTGGAGGAGGTAAGAAATCAGAGGCGTAAAAACCATTTGATATGATATTCTCCTCAAATGAGTTTCTTTTCCTGTTCTATTTACAGAAGCACATACGTCAGAGGTGAGCAGGGCAGAGAACCCTCCCCTCTGGCTCCTGTGGCAGGGGAAGCTGAATTTTCTCTACTCCCTCAATCTGCCATCCCCCGCCACTGGGCATAGTCTCCTATCATGTCTTTGAACAAGTTTATAGCGTCACGTTCAGTTGTTTGCTCGGTACTTGAAAGATCGAGATGAGTAAATGACAGGAAATGAAACCCATCCGAACACATTTGATAGATTACAGAATATCATTCTGAAATGCCAAGTGTAAGCTTTCTCTCCAGCTTTCAGTAGACATTAATGGCTAAATTCTGCCTCAAGTTACATAAACACGTTTGACCAAAACAAGGAAGGAAAAAAAAAATCTTCACAGCATGAACACCCTTGAAGAAATAGAGCCAAATCCTGAGATGGCATGTAATTATGTACTAGCTACCAGATTCTGAAATAGCATGTAATATGCCAAATAGATGTTTATTTCCTCTTGTTTTTTCAAAAGGGTCCCACCCAACCACTGAAAGGAGCAGCATCAAAATAACTCAGGGTGGGTTTAAGCCACCTCTCCTCTTGCCAGCACACAGACCTGTAAAGGCACTGCTAATTTGGTATGCACCAACCCGTAGCGTATTTTGGGATGTAACAGGAATAGTGTACACAGGAGGTTTGTAAGGGCTTCAATTTGAGCCAGTTCATTAAAGGCTAGTAAAGCACAGGAAGGAATCTATGGCAAATATATATGATTTAGGAGTCATATCTAGTTATTAGGTCTTACATTATTTGTACACCCTGAAATGGGGAATCCCTAGTATCCAGGAAGGTTGCTGCACTGTGTGAAGGCTGGGATTCCTTGACCCAGGGTTTCAGTATCGACCTGATACAAAGTCTACCTTAGTAAATTATCTAGACACACACAGGTCATATATGGACCAAATTATTGAGGGGTTATTAAGGTCATGCAATTGATTCTTAAACCCCTACTTTAAATCCTTTCTGGAACAAGACAAGGGAGAGACTAAATCATACAAATAGCTCACCACTGTTCCCTTCAAAGTCATTTCTGTGGGTTGCTATATATTTAATTCAACAATACTCAGAACATATTAAAGACAGCCATATTTATTTTTTGCAGACTTTGTGGTGAGTGGTTTTGGAAATGCTCAATGAGGGTGGACTTGACCTTGAGAAATAGTTACAAGTCAGCTGAATCTAAGACTGATAAACAGAGTTGGTGGTCAGGTTAGGTAATGCGGGCTCACATCAATGACAGGCATTTGGTTCAACATAGAAGAGTAAGAAGCTGTGGTCCAGATTGAGAGGAAGTCACCCAGAAGACAATTTCAATACAATTTCCTAAGCAATGTGAAAGAGGGAATGAAAGGGCGCTTTGGTAATGGACTGATGGAAATCTTCTAAAGCTGGATGATGGGGATGGCTGCAAATTTGGTAAATTTACTGTAAGTCATTAAATTCTACACTTAAAACAGGTGAATTTTATGATATATGAACTATACCTCAATAAAGTTGTTTTTTTTTTAATTTTTAAATTTATTTATTTATGATAGTCACACACACAGAGAGAGAGAGGCAGAGACACAGGCAGAGGGAGAAGCAGGCTCCATGCACCGGAAGCCCGACGTGGGATTCGATCCCGGATCCCCAGGATCACGCCCTGGGCCAAAGGCAGGTGCTAAACCGCTGCGCCACCCAGGGATCCCAATAAAGTTGTTTTTAAAAGAAGGGTGTGGTGGGAGCACAGAGGTTCCATTTAGTTCTCAATGAAAACTGGTCTTTACCTCCCTTGTCAAGAGAGTAAAGAAGGGGAAAGAGATGGTCAGAGAAGTGGTGAAGATTTAGGCTGGTCTGGCTGTGGTTCTCAGGTCTTGGACCTGCCTTTAAGTGAAGGGAAACAACTCAAGGGTGTCATACATTCCAACTGCATCATCAAATTCACATTTTAGATAGATTTCAAAAAAAGCAATCTGAAAGATGCCAAGGTTGGAGGCAAAGGGACTGATAATAGGGACATGGTAATAATCTTGGGGCGAAACTGTGGAGATGGAAACGAGAGTGGTGGCAGTGGGATGAAAAGGCAGGCACAAGTTCATGGACTTTTAGGTAATGGTGGCAGGATTTGGTCACAGGTGGGATGTGGATGGTGAGGGAGAGAAAGGAGTTGGGGAAGGCTTACATACAGAGGAGGGCAGCAGAGGGTGGACCTGCTGAGGTGCCTCTGTGACATCCAGTTGGAAATGTCCAACAAGCAGGTGTGCACGTGATTGAGACACTCTGGGGACACTCAGGACCACAGGTGGGAGGAGATGGGTCACAGAGACCCTTGTGAGTTAGAGGGAAACTGGGCTGATGAAAACCGGTGGCGGGGTAGGAATGGGGGGGGCGGGTTAACATTTGTAGGGCATGGAGAAGAATGGGAGACAAACAAGGAAAATCAGCAAAGTGTGAAGTCAGAAAGCCAAAGAAGTAGTATTTTGAGAAGGAAGGAGTAATAGTGTCAAATGTAAATGAAGCTTCGGAAGACAGACTTAAAAGTTGTCCCTTGAATTTGGCCTCTGACCTTAGTGAGAACAGCTTCAGGGGAGGGGAGGTGACAGGCTGCATTGGGTTAGGAATGAAGGGGGGGAGGAGGAGTGGAGATAGAAATGTAGCAGTTTGGGGACATCTTGGGGACAGTGCCAGGGCTGTGGGTAGAGAAGGACCGCGTGTCCTGCAGCTTTGTTCTTTTGTTCTCAGTATAGGCGGGACTTGAGCATGTTTGCAGGCTGAGCCAATTAGAAGGAAGGAAATGTCAAAGATACAGACAAAAAGTCCCTGGATGGAGAGGGGCTGGGTACAGCGGGGTGTGGGCCCAGAGCTCAGGCCAAGCGCTGGCCAGGAGATAGTGGCTTCACCCTGAGGACCTGAGGGAGGGATGGGTGTGTAGCCTGGGATGGGGGAGGGGTGGTGAGGCTTCCCACCTGATGGCCTTGGGTCCTTTACTTTGTTTCCTGTGTGTGTAAAACAGGAAGGGAAGTTCTTTGTTGAGAGTATGGGGACTACAGGTCTGAAAAAAGTAGGAAACTTTAAAACTGATGGTAACAGAGGGAGTTGATGGACAAGTAAACACGTTCATGTGAGTCAACCTTCGCTCCTTTCTCTCCCTCACTCCGCCTCTCCATAATTCAGCATGATGTCAGTTCTACTTCTGTTTCCTGGGTTGGGCCACTACTCACCACCCTCCACTCCTACCGCCTGGGTCCAAGCCACCATATTTCTCTCCTAAATTTCCATCAGAGTTTCCTTACTAAGCTTTTCTGCTGCCTCTCTAGCCCCTTTTGGTCTTTTCCCCATAGGCAGCAAGAGGGATCTTTAAAGGCTGTAAATCACATCATGCCACTCCCTGCTTCAAATTATCCATTATTCTCCCTGAGATAATAATAAACTCCAAACACTAAGCTTTGTCCTGAGAGATTCCACACATTTACCTCCCCTACCTTATCATACACCACATTCTCCCTTGATCTGTGTGTTTCAGCCCCTCTGGCCTTCTTTTGTTTTTTTCTAGGGCTCCAAGTTAGTTCTTGCCTCAGGGCCTTTGCACTTGCTTTCCTTCTGCTCAGGATGTTCTGGCCAGCTCTTTCCTATCTTTTACCTCCCCAACCAAATGTTACTTCCCCAAAGAGGCTTCCCTGCCTGTGTAAAGGAGCATCATCCCTTGCCCATTACCTCTGTTTATTTGCCTCCTTGTATTTATCAGTAATTGAAACTATGTTACATATTTATTTACTTGTGTGTTTTGTTTCTCAATCCCAGAAAAAGAACTCTGGGAGAAAAGGGACTTCATTTAGGACATTGTAGGCACGTGATAAGTATTGTTATTTATAAGGATAGTGTTGAAAGTATCCTTATTAATAAGGACAGTGTTGAATGTCCAGTGGAATTAGAAAAATAAAGCCTGTAACTTCAGGCCACACAGTTGTGTGATTTTCTTCAGCAGAGACCATCAAATAATAAGATTGATTTTCTTATGTGTCTGTTCTGGAGACAATTTCAAACAAGTATTTCCAAAGGAGCGTCAGGTGGCAGAGGCATCTTGGTGAAAAGCAGATGGATTCCCAATGTGACCAGTTCAGATGTTTACGCTCTTATTCATTTTACAGAAATTCCCTCAATTTAACAGTCTTGTATGTGGGTTGGCAAGTTGTGGGAGGAAATTGCTGACTCTGTTTCCAGCTCCAAAGCTAAGCTGTGTTATACAGGTGAAATCAGGTTACTGAGATAGGTCTGGTTTCCTTGGTGACCCAGGAGGTTTGGTTATATTTGAAATTGCTAAGAAGGAGAAAAATCTGATGACAGTTCTGTATTTTCCTTGGGGAAGGAATACTTTTCAATCTGCAGCTGAAGCTGAGGACATGCCTCCTTGATTGGCAAGGGTCGACCTCTGGCCCGCAGACTGAGCGACACTTTCTGACTGCTCCCAGAATCTCACGCCCAGTCTGGCAAGGTTGTCCTATGCCAGCTCTGGGTAATTACATCATGACTCCTCAGGCTCCTTGTCTGTTTTGTTTTTGCACGTAAACACTGTAACTAAGGTGACGAATAGTTAGCTTATTGGAGAATGTGTTAACCACCTTTCTTCTGGTGAGGTGGCAGTGGAAAGGCATATTATTTTATAAATACTAGGTTGACCCCATTAACTCTTTAATGTTTTTTTTTCTGGATAGCTGGTTTATCAAATTTTTAAGCCTTAATGTCATTCATTGACAAGATTTGTATGCCAAGCTCTGTGCTTACTACTTTTTAAGTAATTTTTAAGTTATTTTTTGTGACAATATTATGAAGTGGGTACTATTATTATTATTATTAATTATTTTTTTTTAAGAGAGGGTGGGAAGGGCAAAGGGATAGGGAGAGAGAGAATCCTAGGTAGACTCCATGCCCAGCACAGAGCCCTGATGCAGGGCTCGATCTCACAACCCTGAGATTATGACCTGAGCTGATATCAAGAGTCGGATGCTTAACTGACTGAGCCGCCCAAGCGCCCCAAGACAGGTACTGTTATTAACCCTATTGTAAAGATGAGGAAGCCCAGAGAGGTAAAGTGGCTTTCCATGGTAACACATCTAGGAAGTGATGGGTTTTGGATTTTAGAAAGTGATTACTGCTTATCCTTTGCTGATACTGTATCCTGAATTCTCTCATAATACTGTAAGCGGAGGTGGAAGACAATTCCAGTTTTTTGCAGTTACCTGATATTCAGAGTCCGCCTTATGCTGCATGTCCCGCAGATACTGAACCTTACTCACGAACTTCTGCCTCTCCTTTGCTTCATGCAACATGATTCTTAATCCCCAACCTGCATATAAAAGATAATGAATGTGCTGTGACATAATCCTTTGTTGCCCTGCGTATTTGGATTCGTCTTAGTAGAATTGCTTTTATTCTCTTATTAATCTACTTTCCATTGTTTGAAAGGCACGGATGCCCCTTTCAGAAAGCAAAGACCCTTTGTACAGGTGTGGATGCCCTCACAGCCCTCCTGTTCTGGGCATAAATAATGCAGCTGCACTTGTCAGCTGGCTCCAGGGACCCCGTCCTGGTTATTCATAGGGGGTTAGATTGACAGATGCTTGATGCAGAAGCAGTTCTGTGACTTGGCAAAAAGGAAAACCCAAGAACCGAGCTAGATTAGCAATGACTATTAGCCCCTGGTCACTTAAATCCACTTATTCAGCAGTCGTTGGGTCTCCATTCCAACTGAGGTGCTCTGCTGGGTGCTGGGATGTAGAAGTTGGCAGGAGGAATGCACCCCTGCTTTTGTGTTGCTTACAGCAGGGGGTGGGGTGGGGAAGGCTGACAGTGGACATCCCTGCACCTCAGCCCCTCAAACTCCACCAGAATTGTCTGAGGGGAATGTTCACACCGCCCAGCGAGCTGATCAAGCCCCAGAACCTGGCTGGCTTCCCCCACATTCACCTCTCCCGCACCATCCTCAGAATCCCCAGCCCTGATGATCTTCTCCCCTTGAGTAGCCCTCTAATTCATCGTGGTGAGAGTGTGGGCCCTGGTGTGAGACTCTCTGGGTTCAAATCCCAACTCTTTGAGCATGGACAAGAGAATCCTAATTGTGATAAGTGCTATGGAGTGGAAACATGGGCTTCTTTGAGACATGGTTATTATGGGAGGGCATGACACAGTCTAGGGGACAAGGTTTTCCTTAGGAAACGACACTGGGCTTGCTAAGGAGCCAGGCAAGAAGTGGGATGGAGAGTGTCTCAGAAAGGACAGCAGGTGCAGGAGCTTCGGGGCAACAAGGGGCAGGTGTGGCTGAGGACCAGGACAGCCAGCACAGTTGACAGAGAGAGGGTAAAACAGCAAGAGAAGGCTGTCGGGTAGACAGGGGCCAGTTCACTTGGAGCCTGGAAGCTTATGATTGGAAGACCATATAACTGCTACCGGAAGGTTCCAACCCGGGGAGCAAATGCTTAGATTTGCATTTCATTTTATTTTTTAAAAGATTTTATTTGTGAGTAATCTCCACACCCAACATGGGGCTCCAGCTCACAACCCCAAGGTCAAGAGTCACACGCTGCTCTCCCCATTGAGCCAGCCAGGTGCCCCTAGAGTTGCATTTTCAAGGGCCCCTCCAGCTCTAGTGTAGAGAATGAATGTGGGGATAGAATAAAAATGAGAGTAGAAAGACATTGGGAATATATTACCATAATCCAGATAAGACAGTGACAACTCTGGGTAGCAACAGTGGAGGGGGTGGGGGGAGGAGAAAAAGAGGGGGAGGAGGGGGATCTCAGAGCTACTATTTACTGAGCCTCCTGAAGTGCTGGGCACTCTTCTCAACATTTACACACATTAACTCATTCGATCTTCAGGCGCATGCTTGAGGCAAGCACTCTTATTTCCATTGTGCTAATAAGGAGACTGGGGCACCAGGAGTAACTTGCTTAAGGTTACAGAGCTGGTAAATGGAAGAGCTGGGATTGGAACCCAGAGAGTCTCACACACACCAGGGCCTCCCACACTCTCACCACGATGGATTTGAGGGCTACTCAGGGGAGAAGACCATCAGGGCTTGATGACTATGGACAGCACAGGAGAAGGAATGTGGGGGAAGCCGGCCAGGTTCCTGACTGGAGCAGCTCACTGGGCTCTGGTGCCTGGTCTCCACCAACGTAACCCTTAGACAATTCTGGAGACATTTCTCTCTGTGAGAAAGCCAGCCGAGTCTGAGGTGGTGAGGGTGCAGCAAATGGGGGTGTCAAGCCAGCAGTTAGACACGGGGCTCTGGAGCTGGCTAGAGAAGTAAAGATTTGGGCACCCCTAGCATTCAGTGACAAGTGGAAAGAGGAGGAGAACTCGGGGTGGGAAGCTGAGGAACACTCCAACCTAAGAACGTGGGGCGGAAGAGAAACTGCAAAGCCGCCAGAGAGGCAGGAGGAAAACCAGGTGGGTGCGGTTTCATAGATGCCGGGAGGAACGTGCTGCAAGGAGCAGGTTATTTATAACCTTGGTGAGAGCACTGAAGACAGATTGCAGTGAATTGCGCAAATGAGAGGTAAGAAGTAGAGACAATGCTTTCAAGAGCTTTGGCTCTGATTGGGGTGGCCTAAATTTATGACCAAAATATTTCAAGTCACACAGTTATTAAACGGTGCGGTTCATGAGGCATCTGCTGGACCTCCTCAGTAGGGTCACCTGAGGTCTTACACAGCCTGCTTTTTTGGCCAGCGAAGCACTTTCAGTGATTTCTACACGTATTTTTTTTAATTGACATATCACATGACGTTCGCTTCATGTGTACAACATAATGATTCAATATTTGTATGTATTGCAAAATGATCACAATAAGTCTAATTAACATCCATCACCCACAGGGAGTTAAATTTTTTTCCTCTTGTGATGAGAACTTTTAAGATCTATTCTCTTAGCTTTCAAATATACAGTATGTTTTTTAAAAGTTTATTTATTTTATTTATTAATCTCTGTACCCAACGTGGGACTCAAATTCATGACCCCCTCCCTGGCTCAAGTTCAAGACTCAGTGCTCTTCTGACTGAGCCAGCCGGGCGGCCTTCAAATATGCAGTATTATTAATTGTAGTCACCATACTGTACATTTCATCCTCAGTACTTATTTTATAGCTGGAAGTTTATGCTTTTTTGACTCCCTTCACCCATGGTGTCCCTCCCACCCTCCACCCCCACTTCTGGCAACTGCCAGTTCTCTGAATATTCTCTGTATCTATGTATTTTGTTTTGTTTTTAGATCCACATACGTATGAGATCATAAATTATTTCTTTCTCTGACATAAATATACATATATAGATCTCACATTTTCATTCATCAGTAGACATCGAATTTGCCTCCATGTCTTAGCTATTATTATAAATAATGCTGCCATGAGTTCGTGTTTTGGATAAATACCCAGAAGTGGAATTGCTGGATCATAGGGTGGTTCTATTTTTAATTTTTTGAGGAACCTCCATACTGTTTTCCATAGTGACTGCAGCAATTTACATTCCCATCAACAGTGCACAGGGATTCCCTTTTCTCCACATCCTGACCAACACTTAATTCTTACATTTTAGATACAAGCCATTCTAACAAGGGTTGAGGTGATATCTCATTGTCAGTAAGGGTGATACACATTCCCTCATGATGAGTGATGTTGAGGACCTTTTCATGTACCTGTTAGCCATATGTATGTCTTTTTTGGAAAAGAAGTCTATTCAAATCTTCTGCTCATTTTTAAATTGGATTTTGGGGGCTTTTTGCTATCGAGTTGTATGCATTTGTAATATATTTTGGATATTAACCTATTATCACATACATGATTTTCAAACATTTTTTCTCAGTAGATTGCCTTTACATTTTGATGATGGTTTCCTCTGCTGTGCAGAAGCTTTTTTTTTTTTTTTTTTTAAGATTTCATTTACTTATTCATGAGAGACACAGAGAGAAGCAGAGAGAGAGGCAGAGGCAGGAGAAGTAGTCTCCATGCAAGGAGTCCAATATGGGACTCAATCCCGGAACTCCAGGATCATGCCCTGAGCCAAAGGCAGAGGCTCAACCGCTGTGCAGAAGCTTTTTGATTTGGTGTAGTCCCACTTGTTGGTTTTTGCTCTTTGTTGCCTTTTTTTTTTTTTAAGTTTATATATTTATATAATCTCTGCACCCAACATGGGGCTCATATTCATGATCCTGAGATCAAGAGTTACATGCTCTTCCAACTGAGCCAGGCAGGCACCCTGCTTTTGTTGTCTTTGATGCTTTGGATATCAAATCAAAAAAATCATGGCCAAGACAAAGGTCAAGGCACTTACCACCTATGAGCATTATGGTTTCAGGTCTTATGTTCAAGTCTCTAATCCATTTTCCATTTTGAGTTGATTTTTTGGTTATAATGTAATATGGTCTAGTTTCATTATTTTCCATGTGCCTGTCCAGTTTTCCCTGCACCATTTATTGAAGAGACTATCATGTCCCCGTTGTAAATTCTTGGCTCCTTTGTCATAAATTAATTGACATATGCAAGAATTTTCCAAGGCTCTCTATTCTGTTCCATTGATATCTGTGTCTGCTTTTATCCCCAAGTCATATGATTTTATTACTACAGCTTTGTAATATTGTTTTGAAATCAGGAAGCATGATGCCTCCAGCTTTGTTCTTCTTTCTGATACACATTATTTAGCGGCTACCATGTGACAGGTGCTGCTCTAGACTCTGGAGAAACAGCAGGATAAGATAGACAACATCCCTACCCTCAGGTGTTTGTGTTCTGAAGCTTTCCTCTCCCTCCCCATTTTTTTCAGTCGTATAGATATTTGCAAAATCAGATTGCCCCTGATTCATGGTGACTCAGTGTCTGGACTGGTCATTGTGAAATCTCACCAGATTTATCACCAGGACCTGAGCAATATCATTTAGAAACTTGTGCTGCTTCCTCTGGAGTTACTGTCTCTGAAGTATAGAGAGTTGGTCTTTGAGAGTCCAAATCTAAAACTACAATCCAACAGATAGTTCCACAGACTACACACAAAACCTAAATTTTGCCTCTGAGTATCTTTAATAGTCATTTAGGGAACTATACTTTAGAAGATCACTTTTGGGGCTCAGTCAGTTAAGCATCAAACTCTTGATTTCAGCTCAGGTCATGATCTCAGGGTCTTGAGATTAAGCCCGGTGTAGGGCTCTGTGCTGGGTGTGGATCCTGCTTGAAATTCTCTCTCTCCTCTCCCTCTGCTCCTCTCCCATTCTCTCTAATAAATAAATAATCACTTTTAACTTTTCATATGAATTTGTACCTGCATAGAATGAAGTTATG